ATTTCCTGCAGGTGCCACGTTTATTATGACTTCAGCAAATTTGAATTATGCGCACGGCGTTGTATGCGAACATCATTTCTTTAAACAAGGAAGGTTACGGAAGTCATCATACTATGTTTGAAAATTGAATCCAAGTATTATGACTAAAAATACGCCATTTACTTACGTGAAGACTGAGTATGAGACAATCCAAATTAGAGATTTCGGCATTTGAGAAATTTTAACAGTTCGACAACGTTCTGCTGTGGCTATATGATTAAAACAGCGCCTTGAAATATATGAAGAGAAAGCGGCTGGTGAATAGAGTTTTCAGACAGACTGAATGAACATGATCAGATCGAGGAGGTGTTTTAGTTTCAATAATTTGCGTTTTGGCACCGAGTCTAATGATTCTGCTTTGAATTCCGGGAGGAATCGGATTCTACTACATTCGAAGGAAATCTTTGCCATGTTCACGAAGTATTCTGAGCAAGGAAATTTTAGCGCACGTTGCTTCAGACTGGGATTGCTTGGTTGATAGAATGCCGAACTCAAAGCCTAGAGGTTGCGACTTTGTGCCCTGAGGGGGCCACTCGTCTTTCCTCATTCTGAGATTGACAAATGGGTTCAATTCTTGCGAAGGAAGCAGAACACTATGCGCTGCACACGCCACATAGTTGTATACGTTGTCCTTAAAATACGGCATTCATGGCTCATGCCATAGAGAAAGAGATCAGCACCGCACCATTAACCATATGCGAAGATTGTCACAAGAATAGCCAATTGATGAAAATGTGAGGAAGCTCTACATTCTTCAGGTATCAATTTTTTCTTGCTTCGAATCGCTAAGATATAGCGTCAAACTCACGCTCCTTGGAGCTGAAAAGAAAATGAAAATAACAGCAACTTTAAATAACAACATTAGGCTGTTAAGCTCGCCAGAATATGCTGAAAAGTTTCGGTTCTAACAATGCTTTAGAAAAAATTCGGATCTTTGTTTATGAACTGCCTTTATGGCAAAAGTGCAAATGATTGGTTTTATTTATTTCAGTCTGTCAGAAACACTTGAAGAAAATTGTTGATGCCGTGCATGTCAAATTAAGTTCAGTACCATTCACTATGATACGTTCAATTTCATTACCTGAGATTGGGCACAGTCCGGATGCTGGCGAGAAACCGGTGCAGAAGTAAAAGCTGTTACCAAAGTCACTAACAGATCTTGTAGATGACCAAGTTTTGTAAACCTCCAAACGTAGAAAGTCACCACCTGTGCTAAGAATGCTTCACAAGGTATATAGTGGTCAAAATCTCTTGCCGCAATCGAACGAAAACATTAGATTTGGATCCTCATTCTACAATTTGTCAGTTGCCTCTTCTATAGAATCTTTTTAAACACCAAACATGGTTCTCACATATCTTGAAGTTATAAATCTCGGAGTCGCATCTTAGGGTCGAGTTGACGTTAGTAGTGTTCCCCATTGCGCTGAAAGTTGCTATTTATACACT